TTCAACCCACCACAGAACAGGCTCAGTTTCAGTAACTAATGATCAAATAACAACCGTTCAGGGATAAAGAATCTGAGAACGAGCTGAAAGACTGGTTTCGGAGTGACAGATATAATCAAATGTATTTCATGGTTGGTGCTGTGCTTGTAGCTATTAGGCTGTTAGTAGTTAGTCACTCATTTGTGTAGTTTTCTTCAGTAATTCCTGGTTCTGATTTAGTAGTACAACAGATGGAAAAAGATATCGTAACCAGTCTCACAAGTCCACACCAGCGCAGAATAGCACAGTACGGCCCTGAGGATCCATTTGGCTCGACAGTGGAAAGGAAGCCAAAGAGTCAGGTTTTTCTTGGATATGCATCTTTCATAAAATGAGTAGTTTAATGTCTGCACAAGGCCTGTGTTACTTACCTACAGACAAATGGACATCTCCATTTGCATCATGATAAACCTTGTTATTCCAGTTAGCTGACTGCTTACTGACAGCAGTCATTCATAGAAGTATCATAATGTCTGGGACTGCATTAAAATTTGATCATCAGAGGAGCGGACACTTCCTCTCACGTTACAGTGTTATTGGAGTTGACCGAATTGAAAATGTAATGTTAAAAATATCTTGTCAGCCAGAATCCCTGCTGAAGCTTTCAGTGTACATTTAGCTTTATGGGAACTAGAAAAGATGTGTCCTGGCTTTGATACAGTTTATACAAGGGCAGTGTAACTCACAGATGGATCCTCTTCAACACAGGATGTCACTGGTATCTCTCTCTCTCTCTCTCTTTCTCTCTCTCCATACATACACAAATTATATCTCACATTCCCTCCCTCCCTGAGGATGTGTCTGCTGCTAGACTCTTCTTTTGATGAGTCAACATGTTTTCCAGGAAGAGCTCTAACACAATGAAGAGTGCTGAAAAGCAGAGCGTATGAGACACTCTAAGAGCTCCACCCATAGTATTATTACTGCTCCCATGTGTGTTGGTTGGTGGGCAGAGGTTTCACTTCTGTATTATACCACATATCAAATTCATTGGCATTTCAAAATATTTCTCTTGGCCTAATCAATGCATACACTGTAGAGACATGATAAAATTTTTTAACTTACTGCTTAAAAACATGGCAGTCTTCAAATTGCTATTTTTAAAATGTATGACAAATCTGCATATATAAATATATAAATATTGCAAAAATTGAAACCGTGTAATGGGATGTAACGAAAACAACAAAATTCGAACATCTGACTGGTGCTATAACACCTTTCAGAGGGTGGCAGTGCGTAATGTTTGTTTGTTTGTTTGTTTAAGTGTGAGCTGAGTCTGTTGTCATTTGGAAGCTGCTAAAATTAACAGCTGGGAAGCAAGATGGCTGATGATCCTGTTAGGCCACTTTAGGCTTGGACTTTAGTAGTTGCGTACACTTAACAAAATAGACAATTAAATTGTTTATTGCAATTATTTGTATTTCAATTATTTGTCAGCTAGGATTTCAGTATATTGTGACTCTTTATAACACAGTGTTTTCAGTTGTTTAAGGTTTTTGGCTTTAAGGTCAAGTTTTTTTTTTTTTTATTTGAGTTTAAGTGATCTTAATTTTATTGGAATAGCTACTCAAAATGCTACATGAAATGGTCTTCAAATAGAAATTTATTAATTGAAGTAAATGCACTGTTTTCAATATTTGGTAAGTAATCCATTGGAAAGAGAATGCAAGTGGCATAGAAGGTCTTATTGACTGTGGACAGAGAGGGGGTGGGGGCTCATGCTGTGCTGTATTTAAGCACCAGTACAAAGTCAATAGTGTCAGGCCTGAGAGGCTGTTCAGGTCTTCAAGTGTGAGGCCTACTGTTGACTGTACACTACTGTACTAAGATACCTCTGGTACTGTTCCTCAGTATTACCATATGCCCCTAGAGAGATGTTGCTGCTGCTCCTGAGTATCTTGATTCTAGAATTCTAAAGAGATTTACAGAGACGCCCCAACTGCGGTTGTAACTGCAGTTCAGTTTGGGGCTAAATGTACCAGATGTAATCTAGCTTGTGGGTAACTGTTGTGAGCTACTAATGTCATATAATACAAGTGACAATCTGGTGTTAATTAGAACACATAATTTAGCATAAACATGTTTAAAAAGGGTGAACATCTTTTGCAGTTTAGAAGGTTTCTAATCACTTCATTATTTTTGAACAATAAAAAAAGTGTTAGTAAAAGAAAGCTGAGGAACACTGAAATCCTACAGTAAGATTATATTCATTTAGTGCGAAATGAAACGTAACATGAGGCGTTACATCTTTTCCTGTAACCTTGAAGGCTGATTAAGCAGTGGTGTCAGTAGAAGAGACTTAATGTGAATGAGTGGAAACCAAGAATTTTGCTTTTGGCAAATATGCTTGTGTTTGCTAATTACTATAGTTTAAACCTATTATTGTTTGGAATATATCCAAGTCCTTTCCAATATGTCTTTGATGTTTAACATCTTAATAATTTTCTCAAGCATTTGTTTGGCAAACTGGCAATCCTCAGCACGTATATGCTCTAAAAGGACTAGGCCTTTTCTGGGTGCTGCTTTTGTACCAAATCATAATTACAATTATCTGTTGGCATCACCTGTTTCACATCACATAATTATTTATTTTACCTCATTAATAGCCCTAAATTGACCCTCTCCCAACTTTTTTTGGGATGTGTTAAAAGTTCCATACTGACCCAACTTTTTTCTGATTTATGGTTGTATTAGTCCATGATTTGCTCAATGCCTCAGCATGTTTATACGTTTATCCAGCGGTGGTCGAATGATAGCTGGCTCAGAGAAACATTCCAGCATAATATTTCAACCATCAAATCTATTCCTCCTAATTATCTGTCATCCAGTCCCAGTGCTATTAGAAATCAGGCCACCGCCGCTGCTGCAAATTGGCTCCAAATGCCAGTATTTCCCCAGAGCTGTTTACTGGTAGATTCCAGCTCCTGCCTGATCTCAGTACATTTGCAGAAGGTGTTAAGCTTTAAGCTACAACAGAAGTAAAGGCGTAATTACACGTTTAGCATGTGACCGCCCCCTCATTTGCCTGTCCTTAGCATAGAGAGCTGCAGTGTTAAAGGATTAGAACCAAATGAAGGATTGATTGTTGAAAAGGCATATAATTAATCTGTTAAATGCAACCGCAGTTGTCCTCAGTGTCAGGCTTTTGCTACCAGTATACTGTAGATTTTATTTAACACCTCCTTCGATGCAGAATGGTTAGCTATATGATTAACTTTAGAAGACTCACACACCATTGGCAGCTGTGTTGTTCAAATTGGCTGCCATTATCAGTGACTGATACACAGACTAGCCAGTACAGCTATGGTGTAGCACCATATGCCTACAAACTGTGAAACATGACATATAAGAACTACATCAGATAAGACTTAGGGCTATCACGATCATGAAATTTTAGCTGACAGTTGTCATATAAATCTCTGCTTCCTTGCTCTGCCTGCTCAGTAACTAACACTAGTTGTATTGTCAAATACACTACACTGTTTTGTCTGCAAAGTCAGACAAAGCTGTTAGTCCTTTGAGTAAAAATATCACCAAAAAAATAATAATTTTGTCAGCATACATGCTGAAAATGTTAGAATTAGCTATGTAGCTAACAAATAAACAAACATTGTTCGACGCTGCCCTCTGCTTGTTAGAGCATGAAAAATTATGAAAATTAATGACTAAAATAATGTGATCAATAATGTGAGTCATCTCAAATAATTGTGATTAGATGATTATGTAATCATTTTGTTAGGTTTAGTAAGAGTAAGAGTTAAACATTGTTAAAGACCTTACAGTCCATACATGGAAACTAAGCTGCAGAAACAGCCTGTTTTAAATACATTGTTTTTGAGATGTCATGAAAATCAGTAGGTTTGAATATATCCACCTATTCAGACCACAGCAGTTTAACCCTGCACATTCAGACTGCGGCAGTACAGCCCTGCCCATTCACATTTAAGTTATAAGGAGTGCTTCAGCCCTGTTTTTTGAATGAGGAACAATACAGGGTAGTCAATCAGAGCAGACATCATTTACGTATAGCAATCTTGAAGGCACATGAACAAAAAACAGCCCGTTTAATTCTATTGAATAAAGAGCGGTTGGAAATAGTCATGCAAAAATGAATGATGGCCTTGTGTTATGCATAAAACCAGGCAAATGTTATCAGTGGACCCCAGGGGAAAAATTTTAAATACAAGAAAAATGCAGAATATGGGCCCTTAAATCTATTTACAGTTGTTTTTTGCTTAATGAAGTGAACTTTAGAGCACACTTTATGTAGAGTAGGTTAATTATTGTAGCCAATTATTAGGGCCATCATTCATTTTTGCATGACTATTTCCAACCGCTCTTTATCCAATAGAATTAAACGGGCTGTTTTTTGTTCATGTGCCTTGAAAACAAGATAAAGTAATGTTGATCTTTCTGAATCATGAAGGATACCTGCCAGATGGTGACTTGGACTAGACAAGTAGATGCATACCTTGAGACTTTGTGATCATGCTTTGCAGTGTTAGATGTTTAAACATTTGACATTCACACCCATCATGGGTTGTGTCCTGTTGAGTCCACAGCTCACCACTCCCTTCAGTTTCAAACAAGCTGTAACCCATTGTACTCTGTGACAGGGCATGTTTGGACATCTTTTATTTCTGTGAATAGTTGCCTTTGCTTGAGATGGGATAATGAATGGCCAACACCTAAATATGCCCTGACAGTGTGGTTAAAGGAAGCTGATATACAAAATTGGATACTACAATAAAAATATGCTGTGCACTTGACATGTATTCCAAATATTTGACCTGTTACTTTACTTAAAATGCTATATTTTAGCCAAGAAGTCATCTCATGTCCAAAATGTTCTACATAAATTCATGATGTGTACATCATTGCTGGTGACAATGTCCATTGAACCACACAATTACTCAATATTTTTTGATGGATTTACTCTGTATTTCTTTGTATCTTTTCAGATAATAGTGAGAGGAGTGAACTGAAGACATTTTTTGAAGCCAACTGCTCACAGATTTATTTTATCTTCTATGAAAATTTCATTACACTGGAAAGTAACTTAAAGCAAAAAGGTAAGTTCTGCATTAATGTCTTCTGAATTTGACCATGTGCTTTTAAAAGCCCAACAGCAACATAGTGTAAATTAGACCTGTAATTTTTAGCATCTTCAATATCATGTTGCAATGCTGTAAGGGTTATATCTGTGCAGTAGCATCAGATCAGGCCAACAGCACCAATCTGCCCAGTGACAGCTGCTTAAAGCCAGACCACCGGGACACATGAAGACAAAGTCCAGTGATTATGGAGCAATTCAGTTGGCCTTCAGTTGACAAAAGGACTAACAATAAGCCTAACTCTCAGTTGACTATAAAATCTTAAAATGTAACAAAGTCCACTATGGTGTGAAATCACCTGTGTAGGATAATAGACCACTGAAGCACAGAATTCTGGAATCTAACAGTGGCTTATATGATCAAGCACTTGAATACTACTTGCAATACATTTTCAGTTTATAAATGACTAGGACACCACTTTGACCATGCATCTGACTCGTCCCTGTTGTTTAATGCATGCAATGTGTGATGCGCACTGTGCTCCTGCGTTTGCCCAGGCTCACCCCACTGCTCCCTCTAAATAACAAGGTGACAGCCTGTATGTCTGGTGCATTTAAACATGGCTGTTATGAGCTGTTGAATTATTAAAGCTGGTGCTCTCCCCTGTCAGTAAGAGCTCAGTTATGACATAACAGTCAGGGATTATGCTCTGCCTGGCTCTAGGCCATATGCTCCCTCATTTGAAGTTAATAAGGCTTTTGTTTTTGGTAAGCCATCTCATTACAGAGCAACATAGTTTTACTTTGCAGCCCACAGTGAAAGAACATTGTTAAAAAGTATTTATATACCAAAATACAATGCAATGTGGATTGCAGTACAAGTTTTGTAATGCAAACCTCTTGACCAGGCGTTTCATTTTAAGACCACATGTTTTTTGAAATATCAACAATGTTGGATTTTTGTGAGCATTTCCTCAACAGTGAAGCTGTTCTGGTTATGGAGAGCCCGTGTCTAGAACTGTTTGGTGATTACCCTGCTCAAATACACCTACTAATCCTGTCAATAGATGACTTGAACCAGGAGTGTTTGAGCAGGGAAATCAGCAAACTGTGCTGGACACCAGCCCTCCAGGACAGACGTTGAAGAACCCTGACCTAGATGTAATGTAATGTAATAATGCTGCTTTTTGCAGTGTATCATTGCAAGGCCAATGAATGTAGTCACTATAATAACATTAAACAATTTGAAAATGTACGCATTTAAATGCAAGCTTTCAGTCAGAGGCATGTTACCTATTTATGCCTTGAAGAAGGTCTCTGACCGAAAGTTTGCAGATTAAAATGTTTTTTTCCACAGATCTGAGTGTGCGGATGTTTAAATGTAGATTTTTTTAGCTCCAGCACCTCAATCAAGTCTGATACCGGTAATTTATTATTGCCTACCTTTCACTTTGGCTCATTAGCGGTTGTCCATACGTAATGGAATTGTTTCTTTTTCAGGGAACAAATCTCAACGTGAGGAGCTGGACTCCATCCTCTTTATTTTTGAAGTAGGTGCCTTTTGGACACTTTACCTGATGCTTGTTTGTCTGTTTTGTTTGTGATTCCATGAAGCTGCTAAAATATCATCAGTCCTTTTGATGCATGTGGTAAATCTAACCGTTGTTTTATGGGGATACCATGCATACTGTCTGATATTAGTCTGTTATGCTGTTCTATTATCAGGTAAGTCTAGTCAGGTTACCTTGTCCTACCCTGGGTTGTACAGTGTTCTATGAGCAAATAAATTCAAGACATTTATATAAACTACCTACATGTCATGCTGAATGAGCCGTAACAACATCATGCATGTATTATAATTGCTGCATGCTGATGTGCTGCATTTATTTATGATTGGTCTTAGTTAGGCTGTTCAGCTGTTGTTTTGTAACATGGATGTCAGTAAGGATGTGGCCCTTTGTCCTTGCATGCATTGTGAAGGTGTTTCTCTCAGCTGTCAGCAGGTTTCTCACTGCTCTCCTGTCCCTCCTGGAGGCACAGTCCTCTCTATTTTTTTCTCACCTGGCCGAAATGGCAGCTCCAGTTTCCAGTACAAACAGGCAGGCTGGCAGGCATGGTGCTCTCTAGTTACATTTGCTCAGGGAGGTGAGAAATGGAGTCTGGGTATGAGGAGAGTGTTTGCATTGTGTCAACAGTGGTCGACTCAAAAGGTCACCCTGGAGAAATGGTGGAGTTTTATGTACTATATGGAAGGCTCTTAAAAGTGTGCATGACAAACACTTTTTAAAATTTTATTTTATTTTTATTTTACTATTTTTTTATTTTGTGATCATGACGCTGCACATGGTTTACAAATGTATTTCCTCAAGTAGAAGGCATGTATTCCGTGCTCTTTTGACCATTTATAAATGAATACATTTACAGCCTTTGCTGTAATAAAATCTGCACCATGCTGACACTTACCTATGTATTTAATTCCTCAGCCTATAGCATCAGGGAAAATAACTCTAAGCTAAAATATAGGGTGGTCATTAAGTCTGTGTGCTGAAGAGAAAAGCTTGCTTTGAGATGTTTGTTCAGACCTGACAGTGCCTGGATTTTTGATCTTGCTTCTGTATCAAGTCTTTGCTTATTGCGCAGCAGTTGTATTATATCTTAGCAAATAAGTGGATATATGGTTTAATATGTGAAGTAACCCTGTCGCAATTAGTACATAATCACTTGATCTCAATTATGTAAAGCTACAATATGTATGTTTTGGGGATTTGGAGACCGCTCTGGTGGAAATGTGTAATCGCATTTTGTAATGTCAGTTGTGCTTCGGAAAACCCTTCCTAAGCAGATGAATTGAGGGAGGCGCTTCTGCTTCTCTAATGCAGTTCTGCCTTTGCTGTTCTACTAGAAATTTGCTAACGTAACGTGAAAAGTGGAACCCCCCCAACTCGGCCAGTCATATCAGATCTCGTAAGTTGTAAGCCAGTCATATCAAACCTGGGGGAGGGTCTGCGGTTGTACTTGCTCTGCAAAGTCGGCAAACGCTGAAGCTGAAGCCAGGATTTTGGCTAAAAGCTCACTAAAATAAAACATTAGACCTTAATCAAAATCTATGATATACAGAGTGAAACAACAAGTCTTTTCTGTTCTCTGTACCTTTTATCAACAAACAGGGTGTTGTACTTGTTGCAGAACTGAATTAGTTCCTGTTCATTCAGGGAGTATGTAAAACCTGCTTCTTCACACCGCCATGTCAGCATCATTTGATCAGCCAGTCTCTTGGCCAATCCTGCTACAGGCGTGCAAAGGAGCTTTTTAGGAGAGCTTTGACTATGAGCTGACTGCAGGACAGCAGCCATTAGTGGATCCATGCTGCGAGAAGTGTGAGTTAATGTAGCTTGACAGCTACGCAATATCCCACCTTCTTCGTAGTCTATTCCACATTCTGCAGAGAACTCCTCTCTTGATTCAGCTGAGGTATTCCCACTGTCATGCTGAGACCCAGTGTTCAATTGTGTAATTCTGCTCCTTTGTAAAAACCCGTGATGGCATGGATGTTTTCTTGTTGTGATAGGGGTATAGGGGATTAGCTTAAATACCTCTGGGTGGTGTGGTATGTGACCCCCTTTTGTAGGGGATCATCCCTGAGGCTGCTGTCAGAATAAAGGAGGGAGTCTATTGTCCTCCCACCTCTTCCCCTCCTCCTCTCTGCTTTCTTTGTGTCTGGCACCATCTAGACATCCACAGCAGTGGAAGTGTGTGGATGTGATGTATGATATTCATAAGCATTATTTAAAAGGAATATTTCGGCATTTTTCAACCTAATCTAAACAGTTTTATCCTGATGGTGATTACTAAGAACAATAAATTTGGCACAATAATTTGACTGATGGCTATGTAAAAATTGATAAATAATGGACAACATTTTCTCTAGAAATGTGCTTATAATAGAAGCCAATGGGCAGTTGCCAAATTGCATAAATAGACATTTGAAATATGTGGCTATAGGAATGTCACAGTTATTAAATAATCACAGTTATTTGATATTGCCATTGTTTGAGCGACCCATTATTTTCCACAGTTGGTAGCTCTCACAATCATATGATCACATCATAATAAACAGAATGTGACTTGATATAACACAGTTAGAGAGCAGTTGTGATTAATGTTTGTTTGAGCTCGAGCTGTGTCTGTAGATAGTTGGGAGCTAAGTATAGCTCGGAAGCTAGGAATCAAGACAACTTATCAGCCTATTTCTCCACTTTAGGCTTTTACTTTAATAGTTGCATACAATTAACAAAATAGAAAATGAAATTGTTAATCATTTTTAAGCATTTTAGTTTTGTTAATTATTTATATGGTGGTTATTTTTAAGACATGCCTGTGTGGTTAATTTCAAAACCATAACTGCTACCCTCCACATATAGGCCCTAGGATGAGACAGGCACGAGAGAACACTACAAGTCATTCTACTTATGCTTTATCTGTCTTTTAAACACTGGTGCAACACCATAAATAAAAATAAAAAATGATTCCAGGTTTTGAGATTAAAAGCTCTTTAATTCTCAGAGTGTTGGGACAACATAGAGCTGACCATAAGGATGCACAGTGATTTTGGCATAAGACAGATTTGACAGATATTTCAAGCCGATATTTGACGACATATTTATTGTACTTGGGAACAGCAGCATGTTCTGGCGATGCTGGGGTACTGTGGCTAATGCTGACCTGGGTAGATCTATTCCCAGTATATCAGATCATGTATATCAGCAGACATGTATGTGGAAAATGAGATATTGGTTTCGACCCACCATTCTCATACCGGCGCATCACTATTTGACACACTTCTGTAGATTATCCATCTGTCGGTGGGCAGCTTCTTTGTATTCACCTCACCTTAACATGAATAACATCTACACATTGCTTGGTTATTTTGGTTGTTGCTGTAAAAAACGATAATCTCAGCTGATTAGTGGGCACAACAAAAAAAAAAAAGTACGACCATAAGTTAGCTTTGCACTGTTTCCATCATTTTGTATAAAATACATAATGGTAGATTACTGTAGAGTTAGAAGTCTTCTTAGACTAACTGTTTATTTCTTTATTTGTGTTTCTTTATTTGTTTGTATTTCCTTTCATTTATATTTCTTTTTGGAAGTCTGGTGAACAGTTCGGCAGTTTTAAAATGTGCCATGATTGCTATATTGAGGAATATAAGGAGATACTCTTATCACTTGGGCCGTTTACTAAGCCACTAAACTGAAAAGGCACAAACGTTATACACTCAAAGGCCTAACTCATAAGAGCCCTTAAGCTCTAACTCTCATCAACCTAAGCATTTTTGCGTGTGTGTATGTGTGTTAAACTCTCATTATAGAGCACACCAGCAGATACTGCAGGTCATGAAAATCACTGGCTGATGGCATGCTGTGTGAAAAGTGGTAGCATTACTGTTAAAGCAGTCTCTGCTCTTGACTGCTATTAGCTTAAACTAGTTTCTTTCACATCCAGATGGGCACATAATGGCTGTTTCCTCTCTGCCGTGAGCTCCCTATTAGTGCCTTTAGTGCCCGGGCAGAGCAGGCCTTCAGCCGGCAGCCCTGTCTCACACTTGCAGGTGCCACACACACATACACATGTGCACACACCACACACACATACACACACAAAGAGCCTCTCATGGCACTAGGGAAGGCAGTTGGCGAAAACAAGACACACATTTGCATGGCTTTTTCATCTCTTAAAGCGCCAAGCAGCACTTGCTCAAATGAATGCTTCTCTAAAGGGCTTAAATGCAGTGATGGACTTCTGAACATTAAACGGTTTATGTTTCATGAGAACTTGTTGTAAATGTGTTACTATTTTAGCGTTCTGTAATGGTGGTTGTGGTTCTATAATGTTATACAGACTGTAGAGTTGCAATGATTCACAAAATTCATAATTTGGTTCAGTACAACACGGTGGTATGTCAGTTCAAAGCTTTTTTCAAGCAAAAAGCTGTGGCTGAAATTGTGCCTTATGTTAATATGTTAACGGTCACATGTAAATATACTCCCTTTTCAGTTTATTAGGGCATTCAAAAGCTTTTCCTCTCTTTGTCTTAATTTTGAGGCAAAGAGGAAGTGATGCCTTCATTGTGGGCTTTCTTGTGCCATTTTTTATATACTTCATGCAATATAATCAGTATTAAACTAAGTATTTTATCTGCTGCAGTCTGTTGAATGCATTGTTGTATATCTGTGCATATTGAATTGAGAGGCTTATATGATATACCGCGTTGCTGATACACTTCTAAAGGGCATCACATGCTAGATGTCCTGCACTGCATAAATGTACAAAGTGCAGCTGTACTACATGTCATAATGCAAATGCTAATAAACATTAAGCTCAAGTGGATTTACACTCTCCTTTTATAGGTTTAATGGAACAAAACGTTGTGTAATTTAGTGAATTCAATATGTTTAGCATGAGCTAACAAACTCTTCACAAACTAAGAGAGCTAAAAGATACGAGGTGAAAAAAACCTAAGCTCGTAACATTGGCTCAGGTAACAGAC